TCCTTGATCAAGAGGTCAGATGACCCACCACCATTACAGGACATTTTGTGCGATGCTCATAGTCCCTAGGAACTAATCGACCTAGGAGGGCAAGGAGCAAAAAGTGTCCTTTGAATCCCTCTGACCCAATTAGTATAGATCTCAAGGTATGTCTGTTAAACATCCAAGAAGGTTAGTTCCACCATTCTGGCAATTTTAATTACTGTGTGTCATGCAGATAAATCTTGGGTAATGACCAGATGGTCTCAAATAAACCTTATCTAGAGATATATTTCTTGATCTATTGCTGCCTGTTTTTATGGAAGATAGCTGTTCTCCCTTTTGCTTTTGCATTAGTCTGTTGTAATACCCCAACTGTAATATTCCCTGAAAAGCTGCAATGTATGTTCATGGGCAGAACAGATTCTTTTTTAACACTGGAAGTATGCTGTATGACACATACTATCATGTGTTTCTCAGAGATCCACAGGGACCTAAGGCCACCCCTTGAAATCTGTCACTCTTGCTATCTGTTTGAGTTCTAAGTTATGGTCTTAGTCAGTCAGCTTTCCCTGGGGAATCCCTTGTCTCTGCCTACCGAGTGTGGAAATCATAGGTGGGCCACCTCACCCTTCCTGCATCTACACGGCATCCAAAATCAAATTCTCATGCTTCCACAAGTGCTTTCTCAGTGGAGCCACCTCCCCAGTCCAGGGTTTTTTTCTGAATTTCTCTCTATAGTCTTATTTTGCTGGCTAAGTCTACAAGCACCATAATGAAAAAAGTGGAGAATGGACATCCTTATCTTATTCCAGTCTTTAGAGAAAGTTTTTCTCTTTAATTTTAATTGCTTTTAAAATTTTATGTGTGTGAGTATATTGCCTGCAGGTGTATAAGTGCACCAGTGTCATGCAATGTCCATGGAAATCAGAAGAAGGTCTAGAATTCCTCCAGAACTGGAATTACTGAAGGTTGTTAGCTGTCACATGGGTGCTGAGAATTGAACCCTGGTCCTCTGCAAGAGCAGCCACTGCTCTTAGCTGCTGAGCCATCTCTCCATTCCTCCTTCCCCTTTATAAACCATTTAGCATAATGTTGGCTGTAGACTTTTCATCTGTAGCCTTTATTATATTGAGATACGTTCCAGATAGTCCTGATTATTTTTGATGGGAGGACTTTTATCATGAAATTATATCAAACTGCCAAATGCCTTTTCTTCACCTATTTAGATAATCTTATTTCTCTCTTTAAGTATATTTATATATTGATATACATATGTTGAATAAACCTTGTACCCTAGGATGAAACCAAGTCACAAATGATATGCAATCTTAATGTAGACAAAAGTTCAGTGGGAAAATACTTCATAATTTTTGCATCTACATTCTAAGGGAAATTTCTTTTGCTGTGTAATTGTTTGGTACCAGGGCATGACTGTATTTATGGAATTGATTTGATAGTGTTGTTTTTCTTTGTCTTTCATGACACATCTTGAGGAACATTTGTGCTGAATCTTCCTTAAAATTTGGCAGTGTTGTTATGGAAACGGAGGCATGGGACCCGCCATGTGAAGAAAAGGCACCAAGAGACTCACATGAAAAAATTGGGAAAGTTTATTCACACTGGTGAACTCAACCATTTCCTTCTTAAAAGCTCAAGCCCTAACTTAATTCCTTCACTTTTTTAAAGGTCGTCCCATGTTGTTCTTTAAGTTATTAAAACATTGGTGGGTTTAAGATTACCAGCACAGATGCTTACCTACCCTAAGACCACCAAAGGTCAATTCTTTCTGCAAGCACATTTGCAGAGCTAGGTCTTTAGGGCCGAATGTAAGATTAAATTTTATGGCATCTGGGTATTCTCAATCCATCAGGAGTAAAATTCATTGGATTAGAGATTTTGTAGCAAAGGGAGGTCAGCAAACAAGCTCCTTTCCTTTCTGTCCCTACACCAGCCCACCCATAGTCCCCCAACTGGAACCCATATACTCCATCATCACTGTTCAGGCCCAATGTATCTAGTCAGTGACCCTGGATGTTCCCCAGTGCAAGTCCATCCACTGAGGTCTATTCAGCCTATCTAGAATCTCTTGTTTTAGGAAGATCAGCTCTTCCTCACCCAGCAGTAATCAGTTGCTCCAATGTTTCTTCAGATAAGACTGGAGTCTGCTGTTCATTTCCCCAGTTCTGTGCTGGGTTTTAGTCTGCCTGAGTTTGCATGGGACTTGTGGACACCATTGCCATGGAATCATATGAACAAGGTCCCAGGAGCTTGTAGGACTCTGTTTCCATATGTTCATCCACCTCCTCCCTGGCTCTCACAATCTTTCCACCCCTTTTTCTACCATGGGCCCTGAGCCCTGGGTGGGTGAAGTTTAATATGAGTCTTGTCCAGGGAACAGCAATCTGCAGACTCTTAATCTCTACATT